CCTTCAGGGTGGATATAGCTCGCTAGCAGCCTCGCACCGAGGACCTATCCACGTCATCATTTACCCAGAATGCTGGTTTGTCTGTGTAATATATTTTTTAACTTTTAGTTTAAAAATCATAAAAACTGAACATCCTACTGTATCTTTACAGTCTTTATTTTACAGTTAAATATATGTTTATCAAGTAAAGTCTAATGTTACAACTAATGAGGGATCCCTTTAAAGGGCCAGTTATAATTAACTTTAACTTCTTCAAACAAACAGAAATTGTYACGTTCATTGTCTCGTTGCTATGGTTAAACACGCTAACAAACATTAACTGAGCTCTACATGGTATTTCCTGCATAGAAACGGTGTTTTAACAAGTCCGCTTATAAGTACTACATGTATGACTGACTAAATATAAAATAAATAATACAGAGATACTGTGGGAAGTTCACACATCCCAGGATAACTGGGACACAGAAAAAGTAGCCAGTGAAAATTCAGTGAAATAGAGATTTTAGCCTGTAAATTTTGCTGGCTGGCAGCGACTGTGAAACCCTGTGCCCCTCCACCATGTTGTGAGATGCTGTCATTTTGCATCATGGGACATGTAGTTTATTGTAAATTCTGACTTTAAAGYAGCTTATGTTTAYYTTAAGACAGWAAWGAATATTTTGTCATGTAGGCAACAACTGGCCTGYGGGCCTTGAGTTTGACTCACGTGAGGTAGAAGGTAGAACTTCTGAGGTCCACAAACAGGAAGTGAAAGACCATGATTTGACAGATCAAAGAACCTGTAATATTGTCAGTCCATTTCTGAAAGATATTAACCTCTGAAAGTTTTAACCAAAGGTCTTGGCCAAAGGTGTAACAAAGTATGAAGAATGTCTCTTCTTTGTTGTGTGACATGCACTGAAAACCAGACAGATAATCATATCTCCTGCTGGGACCATCCTTCCTGAAGCCGCACTCCCCCAAACAATATTATATGTGAAATGTGGAATATTGTGTTCCTCATATGCTGTATTAGCCCTCAGAGCTGCGTATTGCTTCATTAAAACAACCAAGAAGACTCCCTGTTGCAGGAAAATCTTCCCTCCATCAGTGTGAAACTGCTGATGAAACATTTTTCATCTTTGGGGAGTCGTGATGAGTGACGTCCTCAGGGTGAACTGGAGCAAAGCAGCTGTTTGGAGGGGATGCTGCCTCTCCCAGCGGTGAGGAGCAGGGAGCTCAGCGTGCACGCTGCTGCTGCTGACCCTGCTGCTGCTGCTGCTGACCCTGCTGCTGACCCTGCTGCTGCTGCTGTAACGATGACTGCAGCAGTCTGAGTAGAATAGTAAAGAGGCATCAGTTACACCCGAGCACCCACAGGGGCTCCTCTTCACTCACAGGAGTAACGAGAAGAAAAGCTTGTAGAAATCATGGGAACAGTAAAAATAAATAAAAATAATGATAATAATTCTGACGCAAAATTGTATTTTATGAAGAAAAGTCTAATTCATGATTGTGGAAACTCAGATCCAGTTTCACTATGTTTTATTTATATGTGTATATTTATTTGTTTTTTATTATTGAACTTACACCATATTTTCTCTCCTGCATTCATTGTTTTTGTGTATTATTGTATATTTTGACCTGCACTGACCTTGTGTTTGATTTACAGTTTTGAAATTAATTCTTGATTTGATGTTTTACTTTTCGTTTCTTACAGTATGTGCAATTATATATTTCTGTTTCATTTTATTCTTTCCACCATTTTATACTGTTAATGATTGTTCAGCACCTTGTGAATATATTTCTGTGAAAGGTGCTTTATAAATAAAACTTTACTTACTTATTTATGGGCTTTTTTAAGTTTATTTKATAGGGAAAGACACACATCAACATAGACAAACTGAACGAGACAGCAGTCMCATGCTTGCGTCATGGTGCAATAGATATGTGCAATTTTGCATATTTTGTGCTATTTTAGATGTTCATATATCAAAATATTCTGCTCATTCAAGAGACGGGTGCAATTACTTTTTTATAATTATCAAAAATATTTAACTTTATTTACAAATTTTCACCCACAGAAATACACTGAACTTTTCAAGTTTTCTTCCAAACTTTGTTTAAAATGTGCTGCAGCAGTGAACCTGTTACAGAGAGATAAAAACAGCTGCATTAMAAAAGGTTGATGCTCATTCAGTCCAGTCTGCAGTAGTGTGCTGTGACTTTCAGTATTTGGAAATTTTAAACTTGTTTTACTTTATTAACATTTATTTAACCAGGCATATCTTATTGAAATAACAACTATTCAGTGGCAGATCTAGGATTTTTCTGAGTCAGGGGCCATCAAGGGGCCACAATATTCATAGAGGGGCCAAGTCTTTGTTCAACATCCTCTCATAAATTCCCAGATCATTTTACACTTCAAACACTTGTAATGTAACATAATTTTTTTAAATGTACCACTTTACAAGAAAGCCCCCTTTATAGATGGCTTTTAAAGAGTTTATAGATAGGTTATTAATTCATCTGTAAACACTTTAAAATGTATTAATAAGTGTTTATTATGCAATAATTGATGACGAGAAAGAGACAAATTTGTCCAGTTTCATTTATTAATGATTTATGAAGTGTAAACGTTACAAATTAATAATCTATCTATAAACTCTTTATAAGTCATCTATAAGGGGAGCCTTATTGTAAAATGGTACCAAAAGTTTGCACAGTAAATTCTCCTAAACAGTTTTTCATACATTTTACTGAACATAGATGAAATATTTTGAAACACACATGTGAGGAAATCCAGCCATCATTTGTCAGTTGAAATACCTTTTTGCAGGATTGTTCATATTTTAAGAAGAGAAGAAGAATTCTGAGCAATGAGTCAAAAAAAGTATTTAAATAGTAAACTATTTGACTCATTAGTGCCTCTAGTGTTTGGACATGGAACTGCGTACACCAAAGGACAGATGAGTGACAGGACAGGGGCACTTCAGGGGACCAATCAGATTTCAGCTGGGGCCAATGCCCCTGTGGCCCCGCCCCTAGAACTATTTCAGGAKGCCTGCACCTGAAGACAGCCTAATGTTAAAATTCATAAAGTTTGTAGTTTTTGAGTTCCTAAATTTTATTTACAGAAATATAATCTACTCTTTATTTTACCAAACAGTCTTCATTCATGTAGCAGCAGGTAGTTCTTGAAATCTGAACCTTTTGCTTGGTCGTGCTTTTATTTTGAAACAGACAGACGGAAGTAGTGGTCTTCTACATTGTGATTTTATTTGTAAACAGACACCGATGTGTTCTTCTGCGAGAGAGCGGTACACTGGGCTTTTATTTTGAAACAAGACAGCAGAGTTCAGTTGGTCGTACACTGTGCTTTTATCGTGAAACAATTACCTATGTTGTGTCCTTCTGTAAGGGGTTACATTGTGCTTTTATTTCTAAAGAATACTCGAGTTTAGTTGTCTTCTGCAAGCCTTCCATTGTGCTTTTATTTTGAAACAGACAGCAGGATGTTGTGTCTCGTGGCGTTTTCCGTATTTTCTGTTCGGCACGGTGTGTAGCCTGTTATGGGAGCAGAGGGAGCCCAAATGAAACGGTTCTGTCCGGGACGTGATTTGGAGACATAAGGCCACATACCGGAAGTCTGGGAAACCCCTTCCTGGACCCAAACAGAACCAGTCCGGAGGTTCTCATCACGGGGCAGCAGTAACATGGGGCCGAACCCTGGGGAGGTTCGGGTACCTTAGCTGTGTGGGTCCGTCACACACAGGAAGACACACAAATCTTTGTTCGTGTGTTTTTTCTTCCATGGGACACGACCGGGCTTCCCCTCCGCTCTGCCGCTGTTTCACCGCCGTGACACCAGCCCTGTGGGCCGGTGTGGACCGACCACCGAGCCGCCGGCTCCTCATGGACTCCCCCCAGTAGTTTTGTTTATTTATTTGTTTGTTTTGTTTTGTTTTGTTTGGCCGCTCTCACCGCAGCAGTCACCATGTTCTCCGTGAGGATCGTCACCGCGGACTACTACCTGGGGAGTCCCGTTAAAGGCCTGGACGTCTGCTACTCGGACTTCAGGGACAGCGACGTGAGGAGGGTCCCGGTGGTTCGGGTCTTCGGAGCCACGCCAGCAGGTCGGTCAGGTTTATCTACGTGTTGTTGTCAGTAACTGAGCTGCACGCTGCTTTGTTTGGACCGAACCGAGGTCAGGGGGCTGTTGGTGGGTGGTGACACGGTGAAGCGACGCTGCGGCCAGCGGCGGGCACGGTGGGGGTCCTCCTCTCCCCTCCGGGCCTGCTTTGTTTCCGGAGGGTGGAGGTGCAGGTGGAGGTGGAGGTGGGGGTCTCCCACAAACACTCTGCTGTGTGTTTGTGAGTTCACAGCGACCTGTGGAGCGTGGCTGCCTTTTGTGCTTTAAAACATACAATTACACACAACATACACAACACACACAACACACACAACAGACTGACACACATTTATATCACGTGTCTGTAAAAACACTGACAGTACAAAATGTAAAATATTTACATTTTGATTGGACAATTTATCTGAGATTCAGGTCATAAATAATTTTAAGATAACTCTACTTTAATCCATCAAGCTGCAAAACAATAAACTGCTGACTGACGTCATCAGTATGCGTCCACAGGATGTCCTTTTTTCCAGATTATTATTGTTATTATTATTATCATTATTATTATTGTTATTAGAACATGTACAAACAATTATGGTAATTCACAATAGTACAAAAACTAATGTAATAGAGGGCATAGCAGAGCAAAAGTTAGAAATCAGAACATCAAGTAAATACAATAAACAAAAAAAGTAAAGAAATAAACAATTAACAAGGGATAATATTTTAGGATTAACATGCGTTGGTGGGTAATTATATTAGTAATTCATAC